CCTGCAGGAGAAACCCAGGTGGTGAATTCTCCTGTCTTTCTCTCCTTGCAGATATGAGATCAGCCATGGAAGGGGGGAGTATCTGCAGTGAAAATTCCATCAAAAAGGAGGATCACTCGTCACACTCATCTACCTGCGTGGTGGACACAACTACCAAAGGGGAGGATTTGGCAGGCTGGAGAGGTGAGTGCAAGGCTGGTGACTGCTTCATGCACGTGTGAGCGTTTCTGTGAGGGTAGCTGAGGTCTTCCCTGGAAACCAAATTAATGAGTAGTTGCAAAATGGACCTTCTGCCTGCCATTCTAAGATGTTAACAAAGCTGTTCCTGTTCTTTGGACTGTCTGAAGAACACTGACAAAGTGCTAAACTGAGACAGAAGAAGAGGGGTGGGGATGCAGGTGTCAGGAGCATGAGATGAGATGAAAATAGAGCCAAAAGAGAGCAGTGGAGTCTTTCCTGACAGGAAAAGTGCTTCAGCAAGAAAAGTGCTTCCTGGCAGGAAAAGTGCTTCAGCAATTTCTGCTTGTGCTGAAACACTGGTGAGAGAGAAGCAGTACAACACATGTTCACTTTTACTTATCAGTTCTTTAACATCTCTTTCTACAATTCCCTTTTTTCTCTGTGTTCTCCCCTCTGCCAGGTCGCTTTGGGACCTCTGCCCTGCGGGGCCTGCTGGCCGTGAGCCTGACCCTCAATGCTGTTTTCACATCAGCCTATGTGTACAGGAGCCTGCGCTGACTGCTGCCAGCCCTCCCTGTCCCTCTGGTTCCACCTGGTCCTGAGGAGATGAGAGCAGCCCAGCCACGGCTTCATGGCCAAGGCCATGCCACCGGTGCATGCTGCTCATCGAAAAACTGCTGTACACTCAGCTGGCATGAAAAGGAGCCTGGGCAGCTGCTGCCACCCCTTCCAGGCAGAACATATCCCAGGAGCGTCCCTGGACGTGGCAGGCAGCATTCCCAGCTCCAGCTCAAAGCAGGAGGCCACTCCAATGGCCCACACACTTCCTTTCAAGAGAACTGACCTGAGACACAAGCCTGACAATGTGTGAGCTGCGTTTTTAGGAACCTGCCCCAGCTCTTCTTTCTGACATATTGACCTCGTGCTGATGGTGCTGGTAAAATGGGGAGAATTAGAGCAAATGAGCTGAAGAAGAGGGATGGCTTAGTAGCTGGTGCTGGGCTTTGGCTACTGCAGCAGCATCCCCAGGCTCTGCTCAGTGGTTCCTCTTCTCTCTTCTCTCTGGCATTCTCCTCTAAATTGTCAGTGAACTTTCTTTAGTTGCCTTAAGCTTGCCTAAGCACATGGGTGACCTTGGCTGCTCTGTCATGTTCTTGCATTTTAGATGTCCTTGTGCTTCCAGCTGGACCTGGCCCTGAGGTTTCACCAGTTCCTTGTGGCCATGCTGGCCCTCAGCCCTGTGTGTGCCTGTGGCTGCAGGGCTGCACAGCCCCAGCAGGCATCACCTGTGTTACTCTCAAGTGGCAAAAAGAAAGGATCCCGGTGTGATTTGCACCACAAAGGGCTTCAGCTCTCAGCTCTGCTGGAGCTTTCACTGGAGCAGTGAGAGGCAGAGCCTGTTCTTGCTGTAAATCGCACAAATCTGCTCTGTTAGGGGTAGGTGAGGAGCTGTCTGATTGTATACATCCATCCAGAGACCTGACACCTCACTCTGATGATGGGTTTTGCTAAGTCACTGTTTAAGATATTTCTTACTTAGTAAAATGCCCAGGTGCTCTCAGTGAGAAATGCCAAACCTGCTTCTGGACAATTCAGCCTTCTGGAGAGATTCTTCTTTTCTAGCCCAAGGAAAGTAGTAGATTTTCAAAAGCAGTTTGTAATTTGGGTATTTCTGCTTTTGGGTAAGCCTTCAGCATTGTTTAGAATTCAGGGGCCATTTAGAATATTGTGCTGAACACTCAGAATCATTTAGTGCATCTTAGGGAATAAAAAGAAATTCTGATCTTGCTGTTTTGGTTCCCAAAAACCAAGTGCAGAGAGATTTACCAGTGTATGAAAAACACCTGGTGAGAAGAGAGTTGTCTGGCATTAGCTGTGTATTTCCTGAAGCAGGACTCAGATCTAGAAGAGTTTTTCTGTTGTCTCTTCCTTTGGGCTCCTTTACCTCAAATTTCCCTGCCCCACCCCACATCCCTGTGTTTGCACCCTCAGTTGGTGAATTCTGTGTCTTTGCCTCCCTTCCAGTTCGCTGCTGTTCCTCTCTTGTGTTCCTGCATGTGCACAGAGCAAGGTGTATCTGCTGCTGACCATTCTCTGCTCTGAACCTGAGCCCCACCTGGCAGTGATGATCACCCTTCCTTTCACTCTGCTTTTTATTTTGCTGCATGTTTTAGTTGAGTTCCTCCCCAGCCTCACTTGGTAGCCCATGGGAGCCCCAGCCAGACTGATCAGCGTGCATGTGACAGCATAAACGGGGCTTGGCTGCTGCTGATTCAAGCACTGAAAAACTGAGTGTCTCTGTGATTTCCAAGTCTCCCTGCACGGTCTGAGCTGCCCACTTCCAGCTGCTGCTCCTGCCCTCCCTGTGGGTCAGCCTGGTCCCTGCTGTGCCTGCAGGGGAGGCCAGGCCTGCACACTCATGCTGATCCGAGGGCTGAGGGAGGATCCTGCATCTCCCTCTGCTCCTCAGAGAGCTGTGCAGCCCTGCACAGCCAGCACCTCCCGACACAGCCCAGAGCCAGGAGAGCCTGCAGCACAAAGCTGTGTTGAATGGATGATGACTTCTGTTGTAATTCTTGCATGAATTGTTCCTTGTAGCCAAACCGGACCCATAACCTTGTTGTAAAGAGATTTTTGTCCCTTTTATAGACTTTGCACGCTCACCCGAGCATGTGTACAGGCAGGATGATGACAGAGCTGCTGCCAAGCTCCTCTCTCAGCCTCTGCTCTCTGGGTTTCCTGATGTTCTGGTGCAGTGTGTGATCCTTGTCCTACACACAGAGACAAGCTGCCAGAAGATGCCGTGGCTGTGCTTGTCCTTACCACCCAGCAAAGTGCACTGTGACTTTGTGTATGCAAACCTCCCCTTCCACCTCCCAGCCTGCGCTCAGTTTCACCACCACGCTGGACCAGACTGCAATACCAACCTTCTCCTCCTCCTCCTCCTCACAGCCCAGGAGCTGCAGCATCTCCACAGCCCTATTCTTCCCATCTGCATTGGGAGCAGGAGCACCCAGGCTGTCCCTGCCCCTCTGAGCTGCTCACTCACACTGCTCGGGGAGGGGGCTCGGTGACCTTGTCCACAGCAATAGAGAGACTTTGGGGTTCATTACTGCAGAGGGAAGTTTTTCATTCTGGTGCTAGAACTCTCTCCCGTGGTGCTCTCACGGTTTTGTGAAGCCTTTGCTTGAGGAACACACGAGAGTGTGAGTGTGAGTGGTGTGAGTGTGTGTGTGTGTGTGTGTGTGTGTGTGTGCCTGCAGATGCACAAAAACGTTTGCAAGGTTTCTTCATTTCAGAAGATCTGAGCCCATGTTTGTTTTTATATTGTTGGCCTTAATCTAGCTCGTAGATACTGTGTCTATCTTGCTGCTCTTTTCTGTACAAAGCTGGTTTGGAGGAAGCAGAAGTTTATCTGGTCCCCTGTAAAAATATCTGTGACTGATGATGTTGATCTTCATACAGTGTTGTTCAGGGGGGAGATTTTATTTTTCTAATACTTTTCCTACTGTAAAAACTGTTGGAGTGTATGGAGTGGGAAAGATCTTTACAAAATGGCCTGATAAAGATCTGAACGTGGCTTAATAATACCAACAATTAATGATTAAGTATAAATGATATTTATTTACAGACCTTTTCCATTTCCTACTTTCCATTGAAAATGTCCAGGTACTTCTTCTTTGACTATGGGCTTGTTAGGCATGTTCGGAGACCTTGCAGATACTTTAGATGATTTTGCTGTTCTGAATTAGAAGGAATTTGTATTTTGGAGTCTGGTTCCAGTTCCGCAGTCTGGGGAGTTTGGCAGATGTGAAATTTTATGCACATATCTATTTGATGGGATAGAGGGAGTGGGTAGAACAAGTTGCTGGTTTCTGAAGTTTATCATACCTTTTAACATAAAATCTTAGACATTAAATTGGTCACTGGGGGGGGGGGGAACCTCATTGCTGGCATATGTAGGCCAGACTCACTGAATTTTAGGCTATTTGTTCAAGCAACAGATGAGGCCTGTGAATGTTTGATTCCTACTCCCTGTTCCTGGGTGCTGGGAACATCTGCAGATCCCTGCTGAACTGCCTGGGTCCTTGTGACAGGGCAGTGGACTCAAGGGCTTCTGTTGCCTGTGGATGCTGCTATATTTTTCTTCCAAGCACCATTCCTGGAAATAACAATGGTCTTAACCTCTCTCACAGACATTTGTTAAAAGGCTAGAATGGGCCAATTTGGCCCATACTTTTTTTTTTTTTTTTAAGATATATGTTGCATCCAGAAATTATCATCACTGTGTTCTGGGGTGGGAGTAAGGTACAGAGTATTTTTGGATTGAATGGATGTCTAGAGAGGGTGAGTAGGACAATTTCAAGTCCTAAACCTTATTTCCTGTGAAAGAAAGACTGTATGTTATATGTGTGTGTTCTTTGGGGAGCTCTGTCACTGTACAGTTTAGTCAAACATGCTCCAAGGAAGGAGAAGCCGTTCCTCGGAGGTTTTTAGTTCATGCTTTGTGTTTAAAGAGGAATATTTTTCTTTAAAAAATAAAACCGGATAAGTTTTCACCTTAGTGTGAGTGGTCCAGTTCTGTGCACACCGTAAATGGTTTCTTTTTTCATGAAATCCTGACTGAGGGTGTTTATGTATTATTGTATGGTCTTTACATTATGGTTTTATTTTGTAATGTAAATTAGGGGGCAGGTGGCATGAGCTGATCAAATCAACATTTTTTAAAGGAGGATGTATTTTAATTAAATGACCGGCAGCAGCTCGTTACTAATTCTGCACACACAGGTGTATTGTGGAGGATTGAATGACTCGCAGTGCTTGCACAGGTGTGACCCGGTAAGGATCCACGCTGCTGCAGCGGAGCAGCTTCTCCATCACGCTCCGGCCCCGGCGGAGTCAGGGCTGTGTTTGCCCCTCCCTGGACGTGGCGGGGGC